CGTAACCTTTAAAACAGCAAAGCTACCAGGCAAGAAATCGATGATAACGGGGTGTATCTGTCCGCTCTGAATTCATTCGTGCGAGGGTTGAGAAAATACCCCTCATCCCTAATATTCCACAATGTTACTGCCAATCCGATCGCTCCCAGCCTGGTCGGGCTACTGTAACTTAAATCTGTACAGATTTCTATTCTACTACTTGACTATTATAATTAAGTACATGTGACTAAAATTTAATGAAACATGTCAAAACCAAAGTAAGAAACGACACCACAACATAGTTGGTAAATGTTTTTAGGCAGGTAGGCTGAAAATGATGACATGGACTGGTCGGGTACTTTCACGCCGGTCCCAAGTTTTATATTTAATGTAACCGTCAGAATTTTTACTCACGATAATCATTAATGTATTAGAGTATTCATTGCTCACCCTGTAAATTTGATCATTTAATTCTTATAGTACTTGAGAATCTCTTGTATTGTTAAGAAACTCAGTGTATATATCATGACAGTATGAGTATAATAATTAATATTATAGTCATGTAGCGCGTTTTAATCCCTGAGTCAGTTGAAACGTAGTCGGTTGGAAACCTGACTTATTCTGTCTGAGTATTAATGTGGTTTAAATACCGGTAGTAAGTCACAATGGCATATAATATTATATATATATCTATAATAGTATCTATATTATATTATATATGCATAGGATATCATGCTCATGTAATAATTAATATACGTTGGACACCATAATACTTTCAAGTTGTATTTAAGTCTATATCTTGGTCTAATATATTAGTAAGCTTATCAGTCGAGGATCGCTTTGTGCTCATCGCAGTGATGCAGGCTTTGTGTTGCGACTGCAACAGCGGCAAGAACGACGCTAGCCTGACGTCACAGAGCGTTTCTCCCACTGGTGCAACCGCCGGTTTTGGCGAAGATTAAATGATTTTCAACATTCATAGACCCACACAAGAGTGTTTTCATATCACAGAGGCATACCAAATAATATACGATATGCTTTTGTTATTTACGTGTTGATACTAGCTTCAAATAATTGTAAAAATTTGACCAGTTTTAGAGATATGACTAAAGAAGGCCTTTAACCCTAACTGAAAACGGCCCTAAAGCCATATCAGATAGTTACCAAGGGTACGTTCCGGTATACCGGACCGTACCCAGAATACGTTCCAGCAGTACCCAGGGAGACATAGACCCTATCAGCACCACTACGAAGATTGGCTTTGCGTTGCTACCTGCCACCATAACCCTATATCTGTGAAGCGTCGCGACAGGAACACATGCAAGCAAAGCAGCTAGATGTAACTCGGGGTTCAGATGTGAGGTTTAGTGAGGGCGCCTACACGGCCGAAGCACTGACGACAACACCCTACACCTCGTGCCATCTAGCGGAGCATTCATCAACCAGAACCTATCCGAGCATCGCCAAGTAACACACACAGAGAGGGCGTGCGAGTGGTCTCTGCATGACAGAGCAGCGCCCACGCCCTCTCGTGGCAGAGATTGCGCTACGGTGATGTCACACGTGGCGCTCTGGTCTGATACGTTCCTGGTGACACATACTCCGACTCTCTCTATTGACTCGCTGAGCAGAGCGACCGGTTACCGCGGCAACCCCTGCGTGTTCCCATGACCGCAGGCACCTGTGGTGGTAGGGGGGTGGGGGGACTTACTACAGTCTAACTCGTCACTGGTGTCGAGGCAGTCATGGACGCCGTTGCAACGCAGCGAGGCATCGATGCACACGTCCATCTCACAGCGGAACTCGTCGGCACGACACGGCCTGGATGCTAGAATCGTACACTGAGGACATTGCACACTGAGGACACACAGGACAGCTACTACCTAGCCCACACACTCCTAACGCTAGTTACCTCGGAGCATTCTTAACCAACTTTGACCTTGTCGGCTTCAATAGAACGCTAATTTGAATATTACCGGTGCAAAAACTTGCCGTGCCAACCGCGATTAAAAATGCCCCGTAGTCGCGCCACAAGTACGGCTGCACACACATGGCTGCAAACACATGGCCGTAAGTCCAATGTATCTTCAACCTGGTAAATACCTGAGCATGTAGCCACCAAAATTAGCACCTGCATCACAAACGAGAGCCTGTATGCGGCGCAATGAAAAAATGTGTGCTCACGTGAAGACAATTTCACCTGCAGCATATGAACTCAAACACACATAGAAGTGAAACACCGGGTGGTTCATGTGTTCAGCTGGTAGACAGGCAGCCGACGGGGGAATTTGAATCATACTGTAACCCATCGTGCTTTCATGGAAGGCTAGCAAGATGGTACTCACGACAGCGGGGCAAGTACACAGACTCCCCTACATACGAACATTCGTGTTATGAACTTTCGATGATCGGAACAATTTGCCCTGAAGTCGAAAATTTAGGCGCAAGGTTTAGTTCGCAGATCCGCCGAGTGGTGGCAGCAATGTAGCGCGGGAAGCGCTGAGATGTAAACAATAGTATGTTACTCTAGTGGCATTGTTCATACGTGTGCTTGTGCTCTCTCCACAAATTCAGTGTTATTTGTGATTACTATACCCACCAATACTGTATACGTACATATGTTGGACTTACGAACAAATGGACTTACGAACGACCGCTCGGAACCGAACCTGTTCGTAAGTAGGGGTGTCTCTGTATACCAATATTGCAATTCACGTACTTTCAGAGGAATGAAGAGAGAAAGGCACTTACGGCAGTTAAACTCGTCGGAGCCATCTCGGCACTGTGGACGGCCATCACACTTGTACTGTCCATCCACACACTCGCCACTGATGCACTGGAACTGCTGGGCGGAGCAACCCGTTGGCGTCGTAGGTGGCACTGCAACGACACGAGTGACATGTCGGATGCTCGTACGGTGCGACACGCATCGAGACACTGGCACGCTCGCGAGCTTTCACAGTTGAGCTGCTCTAGTCGTGACGGAGACATACGCGCTACGCTACAGCACCCTTCTCAGCTTTCAGCAAGCACAGTATAACGCTAGGTAGCAGTGTGTGACACGTAGTGTAACAGTGGGAATCTCAGAGCCAGAGTTTATCACCGATGTATTCGAATGACAGAGAACATGGCATGGAAATGGATGGATACACACGACCAGTAACAACGAACAGCAGGTGTAGATTCTCTTCTGAAAGCTTTCACGCGACAACACACCTCTTAGTGACTCCAGCACTCAGTACTGTTATGTGGAAAACCAGCAGGTCAGCATTTGAATGCAAAAGAGATCACGTTCCCCGTCTATCTGATGCTACCACACATAGAGAAACGATGAGATGAGACCCGCATATAGCCCTGACGAATCTCAGTTGAAGTAGCGTGAACTAATAACAGACTACTTGATTAACAACTTGCAGTTAGGAATACAAGGGCAGTGCACGAAATATCAGACGAAAAAAACGAACAACAAAAAACCCTAGTTGAAATAAAATAGCGAACCAAATATTGTAAAAAAATACATTCAATCATATGGAATTATTTACAGTGAATTTGGAATGAGTTGCGCAGTGCATAGTATTATGTCACACGAGTTACTGCAGCCAGGCTCTTCAAAATGAGTGTGTGGGCTTCACATAAAAGCGACAGCTTCAGGTTTCTCTCTTGGAATCTTTTGCATACACCCTAATTGTAATTTATCCGACCGCTAGGATGATCGACGACAGACGTCTCTCCAGACTTGGTCAGCGGGAGCGAAAGCACCAGAGGTATAGCATTAGGTTGTTCGCTATAACTAACTGTGCCACACGTGTAAGTACACCAGCCGTGAGTGCGTGCATTCCACGCCGGCCTAGTCTACGCGACAATGATGACGGACGAACGACTTATACCAATCTTCCCGCAGCATAGACATCCGGGTGCCTCATACAATATTTCCATCCGACTCCCCGTGGGGCAGGATCCCGGCGTTCCGTCGCACCTTATAGGTTTACCGGTGGCAGAATCTGCCAGCGCTTGGCTCCCATCCCTGCAGATGGCTGTGTGCAATACAGGGCATGCAGTGCGTCAGTGTCAGCACAGTATGAACGCAACTTTGTGTCGTGACAATACTAGCAAGTGTAATCGCGCGGTTCGTTACTTGACGAATATATCCGACTCTGAATGACCCGACAGCACAATGATGTGTGCGAGAGATCATTCTCACTTACTTGCATCGCGGCAATCGTACCGAACCCTAACCCTACGAACGTTTCACGTTTGTAGCAAGCTGCAGCTACTAACCTGGCGATGTGCAGCACGCGCCCTGGTAGCATTGCAATCCAGCTAGTCGGCACCATCCCCCAGAGGAGCAGCTTCCCTTTTTCACCGATCCATATCCGTAGCCAGAGCAAGGGTCGGACCCGGGTATCACCGTTGTTAGCTCCGCTAGTTACACAACAGCATGCCTTTGACGAGGTGCATCACTTCTGGAGCTATTATCCAGAAGCTTCTCCATTTACTAGGCGTTCCAACATGGTGGTACACCGACAAGCGTAACCCACTCAGTACCAGTGAAAAAAATACACGGGGGCTCGGGGCAATTTAGCCCCCCGAAATGCCAAAAAGAGCCCCGGAAATGGCAAAAAGAGCCCCCGTAAATTTGCATAGAGTTCAATGCAAACCGAATTTTTGAGTGCTATTTTCATGCACGCAAGCTTGAAAAGTAGCCCCCAAAAAATAAACTTTTATTTTTTCCCTGGTCAGTACAGTGCGTAGCCACGCATACAAGTAGAACAGATCCGTGCTTCAGGCAATTATACTCGCATGCAGCAGTTAAAAGGTTTCGTCGTTTCTGACACATGAGAGCTAGTGGGTAGAGCTCGAAAGTACCCCCCCCCCCCGAGAGCCCGAAATATACAAAACTTTGTGCTGCCACCTGTGGCATGCCGCAGTTGTCATGCCCCTACCTCCAGTGTGATCGATACATGATGACATGTCATGGCATCGATGCAAGAACTCCAAGATAGATACAATAGATACAAGAAGATCCAAACACCCACAACACACGAGACACTACATCGTTGCCAGCAACACATGACTGCAACGCGCAACACGCAGATTCGTTGTGCCGACATCAGACAACGGTTAGTCAAGGTGCTGCCCTACGATTATACTGCTACTCAGTACTGTGACCCTCGCCTCAATAGAGCGCAGACCACCAGACACAAAACAACCATCGAGAAGAAAAACCACTATGGCCACGAAAATGGGTTATCTACGAGACTGTTGCAGAATAACAGGTGAAAAATACAACAGTGCTCAAAGAGCTTACAATACACAGTAACACGTTAATCAGCATTGATGTAATATACCATTAAATCGGCACTGCGTTACCACATTTTTGGACGCTGCCATTTTTGGACATAATATAGATACTATCAAGAGTACAAAATGAAGATTTATGATGTACTTTCGTACATAATAAAGGTTTACGCTGTACTTTTGATGCTATCTATATATACATATTTACAGGAGCTAATAATGACAAATTTGTCATTATTAGACATTGTAATTATAATATAATTTGTCATTATTTTGACAATTTGTCATTATTAGCTCCTGATATTTAGTACATATAGATTTAGACAGCAATTAGATCATGAAATAAAGAACAGCTCCAGTACAACCAGGTACTGTGTCAATGATGTAATCATCTGCAGAACTTGAATAACCACACTATTGTTATTTAAAATTAATATCTTAACCAATTTTTATTGAAATAATTAGGTTAAACCTTCCACAACTTCAGAATAAACTGAAATTCTCTTCCAAATTAACATCTAACTCTCCAGCTTTCCAACCATGTTGACATCCTTACTTACGGTCACTAGTACACAAACGTAGCACGACAGTGATTACAACATGAGAAAATTCCAACATAGGAGAATGTCCAAGATCAGGGAGGGATTCAGGAGAGCAAAACATACCAAGAAACACAAGATCAGGGATGGGGTTTAGAAGAGCACAACATTACATACCAAAAAAATAACAAAATCGGTTTTAGGAGAGCGCAAGTACCAAAATGTACAAGATCATGGGAGCGAGTTTGATATCGAGTCGATAGCAAAAAAGGTGCGTGAACGGCGGGACGTTGTGGCGACCACATACCTTCAGGGCAGCATACTGCAGCGACGTCAGCCACGGCCGTGTTGCACTCGTAGCCGCTTGGGCACGGGTTTCTGAACGAGCACGTCCTGTAGGAGCGCGTGAACGGGTCGATGAGAGGTATTCCCTGGCGACACGTGTTCACGACGCCTCCACCTCCTGGCCGCGTAGGCGCCTGCGTAGTCGGTGCTGGGGTCGGCGGCTGCGTTACGGCTGGAAACGGTCACGATGTGAAAATATGCGATAGCCGGTCAGCGAGCTACACTCTGGTATCGTCGCGGCGGCAAAATCCCGATACAAATCGATTCGCTATTACAGCATCTGCCCGGTTACACTTTCACTGGTCTTAAAAGCGGTATCGAAAATCATATATGAACAGTGCACAATTACATATGAAGACGATTAAACACTCGATGTTTTTCAGTGCCTATACACAGGCGAGACTGAGATTGTCACGAACCATCACAGTTGTGTTCGTCAGAGCGGTCCAGACAGTCGTAACGTCCGTCACAGTGCTTGCTAGCCGGAATGCAGCGGCCATTGTTGCACTTGAACTCAGCTGAAGTGCATTCTCGGGGTTCTGAAACAAAAGAATGTGTCAGCAAGCTCGGATCCCCTATAACTAGTAACGGCTCATCACCTATGTCAATCACTGTCTTCACTGACACTATCACACTAACTTCTACTAGAATGCGTGTGCTCAGACGAAACATTTCAACACTCACACCACACCTGCCAAATAGTCGATGAAATGTACATTTAGCCTAGTGCACTCTTTTCTATAATTCATACAAATTACAAGTTCCTAGTACAGTAGTAGTAGTAATATAAAATAATAGCCTACTATAAGGCTTAACATACGGCTTCCTTCACTTATTGTGTTAGGCTAAATTTGCATAAGCACACATAAGCGATATAATAAAAAGCTTCACTACAATGCTCTTTACCCTTTGCCGCTTTCCATTCCAACTCTACAAAAACAAATTAATACGCTGAATGCTGTTCAAGATCAACACCTCCGTATTAAGCCTGGCGCACATTGCCGAACATTTTCCTGAACAAATTTATCGTCCGAACAAATGTTTTTGCCTGCAATGTGCGGGTGAACAATTGCTGAGCGCACATTGCCGAACATTTTGAAGCGAACAACCGCGTGGCGCCGTCTAGTAGCCAAGTTGTAAAGAGTCATGTGATCGGCGCATGATTGGGCACAAAAATCATGCGACCACATATTGTGCTGCTATTGGTTACTACTTTACAAATGTTCCTAGAATTGTTCGACATTCAGCGCACATTGTCGAACATTCGACGAACAATGTTCGAGATATCAAACATTTCCGATCTTCAGAAACATTGTTCGGAACAAATGTTCGGCGACTTTTTTCACCGCACATTGCCGAACATTTCATGGAACTTTTCTACGATAATGTTTTGGAGCAAAATGTTCGGCAATGTGCGCTGGGCTTTATCAGCTCCCGCGACACACAGACTGCGGTGGCTACCATCGCGTGATGGCAGGCGCCATGTTTGTGAGTACGTACCACAGTCGGCCTCATCTAGGCCATCCCTGCAGTCGTCCCTGCCGTCGCAGCGCCTCCGCTTGTCAACGCAATTCGTGCCGCCATCGCACGACATCTCATACCACTGGCACTCCTTGACGACTACGGATAGACAGACAGAAGGCACATGCGCGGGGGTGCTTGCAGTTACAATCGCGCTTAAGTTGTGTAAAGCTTGGTGAGCACACCGTAGTTCAAGCTGTCTGCGTGCATCGCGCTGCGATGGGCGTCGGCAGCGGCGTCACGCGTCGCACGATGCATCGAGCGGTAACACGAGAACTCGCTCTCGAATCTACGAGAACGGATTCTCGGCGGTGACGGTTTCGAGCGCTTCCAACTTGAACTAGTGTCCCGTACTTTACCAGCTTAAGGCTACGCGCAACACTTCACTAGGTATAACTGTGGTGAAAGCTGAACCGCGAGCACGCGGATCCGTGCTGGGATTTGCGTGCCGATTCAGAGACCATGCCGCAGTTGTAGATAGTAAGTGTTGCCTCCCTTGTGCACCAGAAAGATGATGCTGCCACTCAATGTAGAGGCCCACCCTCGTGATAAAAGTTTACACGGATGAGAAATCAAAACTCTTTACCAGAAATTCCCCTCAGGAGTCACGATCCTCTTCATACAAAATGGCAAGAGATTTGACCGACTGAGTTTTAAACTGCCACCATAATGCTAAGACAGGTTCAAAGAAATACGAAATTAAGTCAATTATAAACCAATTATAATACATAATTACAACAGATCTAAAACCAGTGGAAAGCACATGACAGCATGCCAGTGGGATAAACAAATCGGGATGGATCAAATAGGATTGGGTCATGTGCTTCTCCCAGCTTGATCAACTCTATAATTACGCACCCTGAGAAAGGAATTCAGGTGACAAGAAGTCTACTGACAAGGATAATTACACGGTGGAAAATAACTCGCACTCATCACAGATCGCACTCTGAAACAAACACAGAGTAGAGCAGCTTACCACATCCTTCCTCATCCGAGCCGTCCCGACATTGGGAGTTGCCGTCGCAGCGTTCGCTGCCGGGAATACAGTCCCCGCTGTCACACCTGAAATCGTCATCTGCGCAGACGACCTGCGGTGGTGCGGTCGGTGGTGCCGGAGTGTCGGGTTCATCTACGACAAAAAACAATTGTATCATCATCTCTTCGAAACATCATCTATGAAACATTGTCACACCCGGTATACATAACCATAAGTAAACACGTGACCAACATGCTCAAAAATAATATAGCAGCATATACTATTTCACACTGGATCTCATATTGGGTGCAATTAGACAGCACACAAACGGAATATCACAGGCAGATATATATTAGTAGGCAACTAAAACGTTGTTAAATAAATGTAAAATGCACACATTATGAAAATAATTAGCAAGTAAATATTAGTACCAATGGGACAGCAGACAGATATCTCACTTCCTCTGCTGCAAGAGTACCCTCTAGGGCATGGGTTCAAGAAATAGCAGGTCCTGGGCTGCCTTGATAGTGGGTTTATTAAGGGAAGTTTGCCTCCACAAAATCGACTAGGGACTATTAAGAAAATTCAGAAAACATGCAAATACGTGGAAATACATCTGTTAGAAAATAATTCAAAGGTCATGCAGTAATTGTTAGTAAAAATGTAGAAGTTGTGCGATGTCTGTTAGTAAAGCTGCACGGTTATCAGTATGCAAAATTTGTCACACAAGGTGTGTTAGTTTAGGTGAAAAATAAAAGAGCTATTTAATAACACTGGTCAGTGCTGCAATGAGTGTTGTGTTAAATACACCCTTCCATTATTTTCATAAAAGCTTTATTGCCACTAGATTCTGAAAGTGGAAAATAGGTTTTACGTGGCTTCAGCTGTTAATCTTTAATTCACGATTAGACCAATACTAACCTGGTTAAGCTCCTAAAAATATTTTTCTGTATTGTTAGTTTTGTATTTGTAAATGGCAGCTGCCCTTACCATCACAGCCCTCCTCGTCTGACCTATCACGACAGTCTGCACGGCCATCACACTTCCTGCGCTCGTCTATGCAGTTTCCATCACGGCACTGCCAATACCCAGAGCTACAGCCAGAGGGAGCTGGTGTAGTTACTGGCTCAGGTTCTAGAATAGAAATTTTTCAGTTCAACTTCAATTACAAGTTTATGTTAGAAGCATGAAAACCACTGGTGTACGCCGCAAGTGACACACTGCACTGCACCAGCTAAGAAGGGGAGAACACGTGATGTGGCAGCAAAACCTAGAGTGTCACTTGACTACCACTGACACAGCACAAATGTAATAATATGAAAAATTTCAAGCCTGTAAAAACATCTTATTTGGTAGATTGCTACTGCCTGCTGCTCAATACTTAATCGATGGAAGTCACTTATAACCAATTCCCAATGATTACCACCATAATATAAAGCTTTGGTTATAACAACTGATGCACAATGAAGCTTCTAGAACAGGGTGGTACTCACCATCACAGCCCTCCTCGTCTGACCTATCACGACAGTCTGCACGGCCATCACACTTCCTGCGCTCGTCTATGCAGTTTCCATCACGGCACTGCCAATACCCAGAGCTACAGCCAGAGGGAGCTGGTGTAGTTACTGGCTCAGGCGCTAGAATGGAAGCAATCTGTTATAAACAATATCCAAATCAATCAGGAAAGATATCAGCATGCAGTAAACCATGCAAACACGGCCACTATAATATTTTGATCAACCTGTCTAAAGGTATATTACACTATTGTAGGCATTCGGAATTTTCAAGCGGGGAAAAAAATCATCATGCAGTAAAACTATGCAAGCCGATTACAGGGAAAATCAAGACTGTAAACTATCGTTTACTAACCGGAATAGCGATTCTTTACACTATATCTATTATCTACTCACACGGAAAATTCAAGCAGGCTAAAAATCCATCGTGCACTACTGTAATAAAATGTACAACTGTGCAAACTATCGCGCAAATGAAGCGAGTAAAGCAAGCAATACCGCGAATGGGGCAGCAGACGGGGATAACACCCTGCACACGAATGCTGCACTCGTAACCTGCCGGGCAGAGCTCAAAGAAGGAGCAGGTCCTTGGCTGCTGTGAGAGAGCGTCAATCAGGGGCACGTTGCCTCCGCACTGCAGGTGGCCGGGAGCTGGTAGCGTAGTTGTGCAGAGGGTAAAGGAAGCGTTAGCCAGAGCACCAGCGAACCCTTCACCTTAAGCTATAGCAGCTAAGATAGAGCCAGCGATTGCAAAAGGATCTAGGAGATTCCAGTTTGGTAGAGAGCATAGATTGGCCTAGTTAGACCGGCTGAGAGGAACCCTATCTGCAAAACTCTTGATTAAACTCTCATTTTACAATTTACCTGCCCATGCTCCCCCCAGCACACCAGTTTTAAATAATATGCATTTATGTGTTCTTCGAAATTTACAACACTATCAATGTAGTTTTGGTTAAAGTGCTCACGAGTGAGACAATTGGAAAATCTGCATCCACCAAATCACCGGGTGTGTGTGCCATTTTATGCTGCTCTCGCTCTCTCTTTCTCTCTGTCTGTCTGTCCTTTCTCTCTCTCTCTCTCTCTCTCTCTCTCTCTCTCTCTCTCTCTCTCTGTCTGTCTTTCTCTCTCTCTCTCTCTCTCTCTCTCTCTCTCTCTCTCTCTCCTCTCCTCTCCTCTCAGATCTCCTCGATCTCGTCTTTCTCTTCCTTCTTCTCCCTCCCCCCCCCTCCGTCTCTCTCGTCTCTCTCTCTCTCTACCTCTCTTCTTCGCTCTCCCCTCTCTCCTGTCTCTGTTCTCTCATATGCTCTCTCTCTTCTCTCTCTCTCTCTCCATTCTTCGTCTTTCTTTTCTTTCCTCTCTCCTCTCATCTCCTCCTCTTTCCTCTCATCTCTCCCTTCGCTCCCTCACTCTCTCATTCTCTTCTCTCTCTCCTCTCTCTCTTTCTCATCTCTCTCTCCATCTCACTCTCGATCTCTGCTCTCTCTCTCTGTCCTCTCTTATCTCTCTCTTCTCTCTCTCTCTCTCTCTTATTATTATTGTCTTATTCCAAACAACGAGTTTTGTTACTTAAAAATCTAAGCTAGGAATGCGTAATATGCAAGGCTACAACGTTAGCTATAAAAACCACACTTTGTGCAGAAGGTTATCAGAAGAAATTAATACGTAACCAAATGTGCTACACGTCATCAAACTCTAGGGATGTGATCAAACCAACACACCAAGGAACTATGCTACTAAATACATGCAATGAAAAATTGTAATACTCTATTTGCTAACTGCATCTACTTCACTAGAAATACACAATACGAATACCCTTTCGTGCTTAAGGTAAAATTCTGTAAAATAGCCCTTTTCACATGAACGTGCTGATTTACTAATGTACAAGGATCCGAACGTCAAGCAGTCTGCTGTATTTAAAACAGACTTACTTTATGGAACAGACTTTTGCAATATAGTCAAACCTGTGTACAATGGCAAAATTGGCCTTTATAGACGTGTGGCTGTACTATAGAGGTTATTTCACTGTTAAAAATACTACTTAAGGGAAACAACAAAAGCGGAATTTAATGGCAGCAGACCGCTCTATAGTTGATCACAAACGCAGGTGTTGACTGTATTTGAATCAGGTGGCGTAACATTAGCTGACTTGATTGATACGATTTGATTTTGGGGCGTTTTTGTCTAAAATCATTAATCTCTAAACACTGTTAGACCAACGATGCAGTAAAAAGAGCTATAGCATTCGCCGAAAGAGCAATAGTATTGTCTCCTATATACGTGAGAAGAAACAACGTAGGCACGGCATTGAATTATAGGAGGTACGTGGGAGTTAGTGGGTACCAGTCGGACAGCACACATAGTTGCTGCACTCGTAACCAGAAGGACACCAGTTCCAAACGTTGCAGTACTTCGTTCTGTTGGTAGAAGGATCAATCAGAGAAAACTTGGCATGTGGACAAGGAAAGGCAGTTTTCAGTTCTGGACCTGAAAACATGAATTGGGAAAGAAAACACCAACGGCAATTATACAATCCAGGATCCAGGGAGAGAGACTTGATGAGAAGATGTTAACGATGGAGATACCGCTTGACACACAAGACAACTACAGTAACAAAACAAAGAAAAGATGGAAAGGAATACACATTTTTCTCATATTTTCCACATGTAAATATGTCATTGAAATCCATGAACATATCAGTAGTGGATAATAGAGATTATTATAATAGAGATAATAGATAATCACTATTATCCACTCCTGAACATACCTAAAGAAATCTGAGTATAGATATGTTCACGGTACAACTATAAATAAACGTGTCACGCCATAGCCGAGTGAGTAGTAACTCAATAGGGCCACAATTAAGAATATCTTTGTTTGCCCTCACCTGACCCAGGCTGAAAAGTTTAGGTAGGTAGGTAGGCTTTTTTTTAGGAGGGGGTCTTTTTACAAATTCAACATGGTATTTACATGCTCGGGTGTGCTTGTGTTACCTTTTATGTTGAATGTTGGTTTTGCTTGGTACATATAATATATTGCCTACAGATTTATATAATGTACAGTGATAAAGGTGTACGATAAAAAAAAAGAATGGGAAAGATCAATAAATTTGTTTGAGTCGGCCCCTTTTTGGCCGGTCGGTCGGGTGGGGGCAAACAAACAATATTTTTATTATTGCCTAGGGGATAATTCTCTCAACACTCCATACGTGACAATGTGGGCCTCAGTGGTGAGGAATAGCCCAGATGTCAACACTCTATATATACCTTCGCATCCCTGCTCGTCGGAGCCGTCGTCGCAGTCGGAGCGACCGTCACACTTTCTGCGAGCGTCGATGCATGCGCCGTCCTCACACTGCCAGTAGCCAGTCTCACACGACACTGGCTCCGGCTCATAACCTGCGAGAATGCAGAGGAGTGCGATGTAAAAAAAAAATACGCCGTCGTCGCACTCTAACCGTTAGCGAATTCAAATGCTCAGAATTGAGTTCAGTCAGCAGCTAAACTATAAAAGACGAAACCTCAGGCACTTGTCTTTGGGTTCATTCGTCCGCTAAACTGTAAGAGATGTAATACTTCACTGGGTGAGTGGGGTGGTGTGGGGGGATTCTAACGTGCATTGCAGTACGTTTTTTTGAAACAAAACTTCCTTCACAATAATCGCGGGCAGCGTCGCTGCACGAATGCTAGCGTTCTACGACAGAGGTGCAATCGTGAGTACGCCTGCTATGCGGCGAGGAGCAGGCAGACGCGCGTCGATGACTCACCTGTGATCGTCACGCGGAACTCCTTGGTGACCGGCGGGGTCGAATCGACGCGGACCTTGTAGGTGCCGGTGTCGCCGCTCTGGGTGCCGAGGATGGTCAGGTGGAACTCTTTCCTGGTCGAGTCGCCGCGCGTGCGCAGGTAGATGCGGTTGTCCGTCGAGAACTTGTCGTCATTGACGGAGAGAATGTCAATGTAGTCGCCGTGATCGACCGACCACTCAACCTGCAGCAGAATAAACAGCCGTGGACAACACCACCCTGAGACGGCTAGCCATGCTTGCTGGTGGTGACCAAGCGTTTTCCCTAAGAGCTTCAGCTTGGGCTCTCATGGTTGTAACCGGGTTTCTATATTCAAGGAAGGAACATGGTTCTTGTGCACTACGCGACTTACATCGTTGTTTGCGAGTACCTTAAGGTTTGAAAGATTTCGAGTTTTTGAAAATTCGAATTTTCAAGATGAATTAAGACAAATACAAATGGATTCCTTTACATATGTACCATAACTTATGTGATACGACTGCTAGTTGAGATAAGCTGTTGACAGCATTGTTGACTTGGCGATGAAGAGTGCACAAACCTTGTAGCTTTCAACATTTTTGATGATGGCGATCATGTTAAGCATCTCATCTGCTTCCATAGTCACGTCCTCGCTGATCTTCTCAAATGTTGGTCCCGTCTCTTTGGCAGCTGCAATAGTAACCAGACCATTCTCGTCAGGCTAGAGCACTGATGGAGGGTCTCAATAGCAACATCGAAACCACCCACCAACACACATGACACCACCTTAACTAGTAACAATCCACACCAGCTACCCACCAACACACATGACACCACCTTAACTAGTAACAATCCACACCAGCTACCCAACACCACACATGACACCACGTTAACTAGTAAGCACTAACTTATCAAGCACGATACAAGCCCCACACTATAGGCTGCAATCGTACTATATTGCTCATGGGTTCAGACATTGTGCGTGTCCTATTAGAGCAGTAGGACAGCATGATTCTGCAAATAGGAACTAGTACAGCTGACAACTCACGGCAGTTGGTTTCATCATCCCCATCATAGCAGTCATAGTCGCCATTGCACACGAGACTCTGATCAATGCAGTTGCCATCGTTGCACTTAAACTCTCCAGTGACACATTCATCTGTTGACGGGCCTGCAAGATGATCAACATTTAGTCAAACCTGTTACATGAACGATGTCAGCTTACAGAAGCAAACAGAATCATACATGTTGACAGAGGCGGGCCACAATTCTTGTTGCCAGATTTAGACCATCGCGTGAACTCTTTAAGGCTGTGTGCATAACATGCGAGACCATGTTTTTCACCATATTCTTGGCAAAAACTGAAACAGAAGATGCACCCTGATAGTCAGACGTCGACTACACTATAACCTCTCACAAGACGTATTACAATTAGCTTCAGTCATATGGCTACACTAAGCAAGATATGATAAAGTAATCCAAAAGCAAGACTTAGACAGAAGTGCTGATTCTATCAATACCCTGTCACATTTATCTACTAGTATTTTACACTAGTACCTTTAACCATTTGCAATAAGTTATGATGCAAAGCAAATATAATAATGTAAGTAAAATAAGCAATAAGCAGAAAATTATATTAGTGCAAGCAAAATCAGGAGTACATACTACAGATGGAGTATAACACTAATCTTGGTATAGTGATTATCTTGGTGGTGGTGACATTATAATTCTAAATCTTTGCCTTTGCTCATCTCTAGTCACTAATGGTACTAACATCATGTTTAAAATCAGGTAGAATAGACATCGCTCCATAGCACATCTCTAAAACTATATATATTTTGGCACGAGCTACGCAAATGACAAACGCATACAATAAGAATATGAAAATTATACATTATTTCTTTCATCGACCAACTAAAGTTGACTGGGTGAAGAGTAAAAATGTAGTAAAATTGGTGTTATACTCCTCTCATAACATGTACTGCTGGTATAATCAGAGCAGCAGTTCTACAAGCACTTACCAGCTGTTGCTACAGAGCAGTTCTGCTCATCAGACAGATCCCAACAGTCTGGCTTACTATCACACCGCCACCTAGCGTCAATACATGTGCCATCATGGCAGCGCCATTGCCACCAGAAACGACAACCAGGCGGAGCTAGTGCTGTTAGCAAATTAAGCGTATGTACTACACATAACAGGCATATCATTCCATTTTCTACTGCCCAAACGATAGTAGGAGCACGCTCCTGCATTGGACAACAGCTCGTGCGTTTATGTATGATTGAGCAATAGAAAACAGAACGTGAGTGTAGTTGTGCAAACAGCTACCTCCGATGTGCAAAATAATGTGCGAACAGAAATAAGCAGCAATACAGAAGTATTAATTGCATTAAAGCTAGTAATGCACGACAACTACGAAGCAATCTACCATCCCATTCTACAGCAGCACAGCCAGTCTAAGGCAGAACCCATCCTGTTGCTATGTAAGCAAAGCTCTAAAAAAGCGATTCTAGCCTATAACTACAGAATTGCATCCAACTACAGAACCGACTACCACCAGCAGTGTACCAAGCGTCTAGCTACACACACTGGATGAATGACAGCTACTCATCTGGCCGCCTCCTACCTCCACAGTTCTCTCTCTCGTCGGACCCGTCGTTGCAGTCTTCTCTGCCGTCGCACAGTCGGCGGGGATCGACGCACTGTATGCCGTCACCACAGCGGAAGAAGCCCCGCGGGCACGTCAGCTCATTACCATCAGGACCTGGACCAACTGCACCATAGAGAAGAAATTGTGTGTGGTTTCAATACAAACTCACGCACGCACGCACACATGTACACACACACACACACATACATACACACACACACACACACACACACACACACACTGTCTGTCTGTCTCTCGCTCTCTCTCTCTTTCCTCCTCCCCTTCTTCCTCTCTCACATTCTCTCTCTCTCTCTCTCTCTTTTTCCTCCTCTCCTTCTCCTCCTCTCGTTCTCTCTCTCTCTCTCTCTCTCTCTCTCTCTCTCTCTCTCTCTTTCTCCCTGTACTCGTATCCCTTTCCCTTTTTCTTCATCCTCTAGAATGATACTGCTGAGTTGCAATCATTGTTGTGTGCAGCAAACGAAACGATGCGAGCTACTACAACATTGCAATTTTATCATGGTTAGGCTACGGCTTTCCAATGAC